CAGAAATCTCTCCTATGCAGCAAGCTTACAGAATTAAAAAGCAAAATTTCCAACATTCCTTAATTATATTCATTTCAGGTGTCTAACATGACCAAAATACTAACTGGCACCATCTTCAAACCAGCTACTCAAGCCAAAAACCTTATCTTTACATACCCCCTCTATCAGCAAGTCTTGTCTGCTATCCTGCTTCTCAATACTCCATATTTATCCATTTCTGTCCAAGTAACAGTTATATCTCACCTAAACAGTGTTAACCAGTTCCTAAATGATCTCCCAGCTTCCTCTGTAGCCCAATCTATGCATTTTCCAGAGCAGTCACAGTGAGCTTTTTAAATGCAAATCAGATCATATTTCTCCTCCACTTAACCACACTTAAAATTCAACCTTTTTATCTGAACCTATAAGAGCTGGCCCCTTATACCAAATTCATCACCCTCTCCCTTATCACAAACTTCACTCCAAACACACAGGCCTTCTTTCTAAGAAGTAAAGCTTATTTTCATTTCAGGGCCTTTGTACCCTTCTCTCAGCCTGGAAGACTCTTCTAGATCTTCCCATTGTTTCTTGTTATTTAGGTCTAAGCTCAAAAGTCACCTCTTTAAAAAGAGGTCTTCTCTGATCAGTCAAAAGTAGCGGCTCCCCCCCACCTCTCTATGAATTTGTTTCATGTGAATTAATCCTCTACATTGTCTACAGTCTACACAGCCTAATCATCTTCTGGGTGCACTTATGATGATGACATGCTGGTCCCACAGAGCTGAGTCTCAGAACCTGGGCAGTGGGGTCCCTGCTGAGATAATGCCCATTTTAATGTCAGAAGCAGCCCATGGTCTTTTTCTTTTTAGTGCCCAATAGAATCTGTATTGAACTTTCTTTTTTCTTTGAGTGTAAAATTTTTAAACAAAGCTATACTTAATCTTAGAAAATTTTACTATGATATTGTTTTAGGACTCTCTTTTCAAAAATTACAGCATGCCTTTAGACTGTGCCTTTATTTTTCATAGGCCTTAAAGAAATCACTAGTTTTGGGCCGGGCACGGTGGCTCACGCCTGCAATCCTAGCACTCTGGGAGGCCCAGGCTGTGGGTCGCTCAAGGTCTGGAGTTTGAAACCAGACTGAGCAAGAGTGAGACCCCCGTCTCTACTAAAAATAGAAAGAAATTAATTGGCCAACTAAATATATATAGAAAAAATTAGCCGGGCATGGTGGCGCATGCCTGTAGTCCCAGCTACTTGGGAGAATGAGGCAGTAGGATTGCTTGAGCCCAGGAGTTTGAGGTTGCTGTGAACTAGGCTGAAAGAAAAGAAAGAATGCAACAAAAGACACTGGTGAGGCACTATAGTTACCTATTACATAGGGTCCAAATGGACCAATCAAATTCTCTACATTACCAGAAAGGATACTAAAAAACAAACCAGAAAACACATGCAACAACGACATCCCCAACCTAGCTTTCCAGTCTTACCTAATGCTACTGTTCAAATTAAGTTAACTGTAAAGCTACCCAATTCCACTGCTCAGTCTACATTCACAACAAAATCAATTAAAGTAGCTAGACAAACTGGATTCCCTCTAAGGAAATGGGGTTACAAAGATAAATTTACAACTCTATTTGTTCTTGACCCCTATAACCTTTTCTCCCTTTCAATTTAACCAAAGCTTTACTGATTAACACAGCACAGAGATAATCTGACTTGGATCCTAATATGTGAAAAGTCGTCTTTATTTCGTGAAAAATCTTTCCTCCAAAGATTCATCCTATCAGCCTAATCAAATTATCATCAAATATTTAGAGTACCCATTTTGAGAAAGGCCTATGGATCATTTAAATTTTGGAAGAGTAAGTTTTCCCTGCCTATACTAGTACAGGTTGACCCTTCCTAATCTGAATACTGAGAGCTTCTCCTCAGTATATAATATAAAATTTTCTGGCCGGGCGTGGTGGCTCACGCCTGTAATCCTAGCACTCTGGGAGGCAAAGGCAGGAGGATCATTTGAGCTCAGGCATTTGGGACCAGCCTGAGCAAGAGTGAGACCCTGTCTCTACTAAAAATAGAAAGAAATTAGCTGGACAACTAAAAATATATAGAAAAAAATTAGGTGGGCATGGTGGCACATGTCTGTGTCCCAGCTATTCAGGAAGCTGAGGCAGAAGGATTGCTTGAGCCCAGGAGTTTGAGGTTGCTATGAGCTAGGCTGACGCCATGGCACTCTAGCCTGGGCAACAGAGGGAGACTGTCTCAAAACATTAAAATAAAAAACTTTTAAAAAATTAAATGTCCACCTTTAGATAATTTATTACCTCTTACAGTAGACTTTTCCTTTAAAAAGCAAACCATTTAGAAGACACAAAGACTCTCTCCCAATCTATTCACCCCTAGATATCACACGGAACAAAAACACAGTAAAGTCAATTTCAAAAATCTAGAATAGTCAACTAGGTATTCTAATCAAAAAAAGCAAGCTCTGGGCTCTAGACAGAAATTCACTTAAATAATCCTTAATGAACTCATAAATAAATTTAAGGGATTAGGTCCCTCTAAATTTCAAAATATGGGGTAGAGTTAACACTACTATTATACTTTTTCATCACTGCCAGAGGTAGTTACTTTAAGAACTGTCTTACAAAGGTCAACATTTTATTGGGTCTTCCAAAATCAATTCTTCAAAATGAGAAATGGACATCCGTTGAATAAACCATTAGAATAAGAATAGAACAAGTCAATATATTCATAAGCTATTGCTGTCCTCAGGACCTGAATTCTAGTGCAGGCTTTGAAGATACTCTCCTAAATCTGAATTTTCTCATCTTTATAATGAAGGTGACTGTAAGAATCTCTCCTTCCAGTGTTAAAGTTCTATGTCCCTTTGAAAATACTGTTAAAATTTTATCTGTCTCTTTTCATATATGCCTTTTAAAAACTAAAGCAATTCATATAAAACATAAATAATTCAAAAGTTATAGGAAGCTATAATTGAAAGTAAAAGTTTCCTTCTAGACTCCCAAACCCATCTAAAGCCTCAAGACAATCACTATTTTTTTGTATTCTCAAAAAAACAAACAAATGAACAAAAAAGGCAAGTAGTAGCAAATCTACATATTCGCTATAGGATACATATACCTTATTCTTTCTAATGGTAGCACAGAATTCCATTGTACTCTGCCCTGTGGTTTCCAGGTTTTTGCTACTGCAAACAATGTAGCAAACAAGTGCATCCTTTGAACATAAGCACAAGCAGGCTCAAGAGCCTGCCAACGTTTATTTTGATAGATACTGGCAAATTGTCCTCCAAAATGTACCAGTATGTACTTCCAACATGATGCCCTGTTAGCACCTATCCTCTTGATACATAATCCATTCAGGATTGCAAGAGTTATTCATAGAAGAGTGGTTACAAACAAACCTTTAAGCAGAAGAGCCAGTGAGATTTAGAACAAAAAAAGGGGGGGGAGATGTGTGCAAAATGTCTTTTATGAATACTTAAGTGGACAAACTCCAACCCAAAATATAGCAGACATGCTATGTGGTTCGTTGTTTGTTTATAAGATTTGTGTTCTTTCCTTGTGGTGCTTGTAAAAGATGATACTGACAGAAAATAAATTTCTATTCAAGGAGAGTAAGTGAGCAATCTATACTGCAAATTCTGGAAACCCCAAGAAGGCCCAGTTCTGTCTTAGATCAAGATGTGGATTTAGTAAGATATATGGCTAAATTCTTCCACATATAATCTGGCCAGAGATATATAATTTCATCCAGAAATGATTATCAGCACAGTGAAAAGTGAATTTAGTTCCTTGTCCTTGTGATGGGTAATAAACTCAGCTGTTTACCCCCAAATTAAATGGGACGGTGCATGATTCCAGAGGTGGTAAATATGTTAATAAAGCACATGAGGCCAGGCATGGTGGCCCATGCCTGTAATCCCAGCACTCTGGGATCCTCCTACCTCTCATGGAAGGAGAAGGATCACTCAAGGCCAAGAGTTTGAGACCAACTTGGGCATAGCAAGACCCTGTCGCTACAAAAAATATTTTTAATTAGCCCAGTGTAGTAGCATGTGCCTATAGTCCTAGCTACTCAGGAGGCTGAGGCAGGAGGATTTGCGTGAGCCCCAGAGTTCAAGGTTACAGTGAGCTATAATAGGGCCACTGCACTCCAGGCCTGGGTGACAGAAAAAAAGAAAGAAATGTTAATTAAAAAAATGCATATTTTAGAATCTGAAGAGTAGGTACAAATAAACCTTCAAGTAGAAAAGCCAGTGAGAAAATAAAAAAGTCCAACCTGGTATATGTATCTTGAGCAGAAGCTCCCTCTAGCTTTATAAGAAAAGTAAGAAAATAACAATTATGAACATTCACTTTAAGACTATTCCCAACACATTCTTTCCTCTCCTCATCCAAGTAAACCAATTATACTCAACACTAAATCTCTTAAGAAAACTGACCCCTACCGGGCATGTTGGCACATGCCTATAGTCCCAACTTCTCAGGAGGCTAAGGTGGGAGGATTGCTTGAGCCTCAGGGTTTGAGTCCAGCCTGGACAACATAGTAAAACCCCATCTCTTAAACACACACACACACCCCTGCCCTGTCAGTTTCTTCTATTATCAGGGATCACTAAACCACAAGCCTCATAATCATAAGGATTAACAGGAAGGACTCAGAATTAAGGCCAACCTTATATACACCTCTACATAAAACTAACCAAGCAAAACAAGTCCTAATATCTCTTTCAAAATTAGGGTGGTCTTCTAGCCTTTGCTCTGACTATACCACAGATTACTTATAGGGCCCAACTTCAAATATTGGGCTCAGAGCAGACAGTTCCAGGTATCCAACAGGGCATCAACTGGAAAAGAGAGGGAGAGTTGAAATAACTGGGATGGAAAGCCAAATGTTAAGAGTTATTATACTTGGCAAAAGTCCTGCCTATGATATTATGAAGAAATTATGTGGGAGTCCCCAAATTCTGTAACTAATAAAGAAACCCTTACCTGTAGGCATATGATCTGTGTAGGCTCTTTAAGACAGGTTGCAGCTGAAGTAAAATTAAAGTCTTCTAAGTGCTGGCAAATTCTACCTAATAGAGTTCAACATCCCAGTTATCAGACTGAATTCCACAGATTAGTGAATAAAAATTTTAGGTTGTTTTCAAATACAAATTTTAACACCCCCTCCAAAACAAACCCCAAAACCAAGTATTCCAATCTCACAAAGAAACAGGCCTTAGACTGAGATAAAATAATCACATCCTTCAACACAATCTATAGTTGCCAAGACATATAAAAATCTGTTTCCTGGAGTTTGACTGGTATTAAGTGGCAATGGAGCAAAGCAGAAAAAAACCTAATGACTCCTTGAAACTAATCTGAAAATCAAATCCAAAGACAGTCAATTTAACACTATGCTTGCTCCTAATGTTAAGAACAAACTAAAGCAATGTTTGCTTGGTTGCTATGTTAAATGACAAACTACTATGACATAAAAGAAAATAACAGATCACAATTGGCTGTAGACAGTCTGGTAACCAAAGTGCATATTTATTGGTTACTGCCCACAGAAAAGTTTGTCCAATCAAATCATGTAATGCAAATAACTTCTAAAAGTAGTTTTATTAATAAAACTAATGTCAGCTGGGTGTGGTGGCTCATGCCTGTAATCCTAGCAGTCTGGGAGGCCAAGGGGGGAGGATCGTTTCAGCTCAGGAGTTCAAGACTAGCCTGAGCTAGAGACCCCATCTCTACTAAAAAAAAATAGAAGAAATTAGCTGGACAACTAAAAGTATATATATAAAAAAATTAGCCGGGCATGGTGGCGTATACCTGTAGTCCCAGCTACCTGGAGAACTAGCATAGGATTGCTGAGCACAGGAGTTTAAGGTTGCTGTGAGCTAGGCTGATGCCACAGTACTCTAGCCAGGGAAAGAGAGTGAGGCCCTATCTCAAAATAAAATAAAATAAAACTAATGTCCAATATTCTTGAAATTTTCATATTGTTTATAATTAACCCAATCACTGCTATAGATACGTCTATAAACACTTTTACAACTGATGTTAATTTAGCTAATTTAAATTAAAATATCTTTATATTAGCTCTCTGGGAGGCCGAGGCAGGCGGATTGCTCAAGGTCAGGAGTTCAAAACAAGCCTGACAAAGCGAGACCGTCTCTACTATAAATAGAAAGAATTAATTGGCAACTGATATACATATATAAAAATTAGCCGGGCATGGTGGCGCATGCCTGTATCCAGCTACTCGGAGGCTGAGGCAGAAGGATCGCTCGAGCCAGGAGTTTGAGGTTGCTGTGAGCTAGGCTGACGCCATGGCACTCATTCTAGCCTGGACAACAAAGCGAGACTCTGTCTCCAAAAAAAAAAAAAAAAAAATCTTTATATTATAGTTGGTAATAAAAACAATGCAGGCGGGCGCGGTGCTCAAGCCTGTAATCCTAGCACTCTGGGAGGCCAGGCGGTGGATTGCTCAAGGTCAGGAGTTCAAAACCAGCCTGAGCAAGAGCAAACCCGTCTCTACTATAAATAGAAAGAAATTAATGGCCAACTATATATATATATTAAATTAGCCGGGCATGGTGGGCATGCCTGTAGTCTCAGCTACTCGGGAGGCTGAGCAGAAGATTGCTCGAGCCAGGAGTTTGAGGTGCTGTTGAGGTTGCTGTGACCCAGGCTGACGCACGGCACTCACTCTAGCCTGTGCAACAAAGCGAGACTCGTCTCAAAAAAAAAAAAAAAAAAAAACAATGCAGTTAGCCTCATTCTTTTTTTTTTTTTTTTTTTGAGACAGGGTCTCCCTTTGTCATCTCCAACTCCTGGACTCAAGTGATCCTCCCACCACAGACTGAGTTGCTAGAACTACAGGCATGCGCTACCACATCCGGCTAATTTTTGTTTTAGTTTTTTTTGTAGAAACAAGACCTCAGTATGCTGCCCAGGCTGGTCGTGACCAGTTATTCCCATTCTTTATTCTGAAATAAAACTAAAACCTTTATTTCAATTCCTATCTAGTTGAAGGAGATAAAAAACTTATTCAAAAAGAAATTTCAAAAATTTATTTTAAAACAAACCATAGCTATCTATGGTAAAACCGTTCATAATTTGTTGGAGGGGGTTAAAGACTGGCATGAGTATAGTGCCTGCTACCCAGTTTGAGGACTCTCCCAGGTCCCTTTCTTGTCTGCTTTTCTTTAATTATTAAGAACCAAGTAGGAGAAGGAAAACAGAGAAATTTAAATCCACCCATTTTCTTTTTTGTAAACTTGGAAGAACTGGTGAAGAAGTTTAGAAAAATGCATTAAAATGAGGTTTTTGCACTGTAAAAAGAGCCAATCACATCCTGTAAAAAGGATACAAGAGTAGACCATTCAAAAAATTTTTAATTAAAAGAGTACAGCATCCATACAACTCTGGAATAAACTCTGGATGCATCTTTAAAATAATTTTTATATACAGTAAAATTTAGTTTTTGGTATACAGTTCTGTGAATTTTGACAAATATCTATTAGAATCATGTCACCACCACAATCAAGATACAAAACAATTTTCAGATGAATTTTAGGACAACAATCATAAATGAAAGAAGAATTATCTAAAGCACTTACTTCAAAAGACAAGATTTCTACCAAGTTAAAAGCAGACAAAACAGGACCTAAGAATTTAAATAAGAATTTACCAAAAATAGAGGAATACTGGTCCCTCTCTACCTTTGCTCCTGCCTTCTAGCCAATCTGAAACATTCTACAATCTCCATTTCATCAATTCCCATGGCTTCAGTTATCAATTACACACCTGCTTATCTCTTTTGTACTGCAAACCTGCTACCAAACATCTCCAAGTGGCGATCCCATACACATCTCAAACTCAACATGTCCAAAATGGAAGCTCATCTTCCACCAAAAACCTGATTGCTTTTCAGGGATCTAACTGTGCATCTGGTGCTCAAACTAGACACTTAGGAGTCAGTAACTTAACTCTCCACTCTCCCTCACTACCCCAATCTCCACTTCCCACTCCCAATTCAGTCAATCACCACATCTTGTCAGTTTTACCTCAATAATACATCTCAAACTCATCTGTTTCTCTTGATCCCCACAACCAACAACCAGCTTAGTCTAGGACATTAGAACACCGCAGTATTTTAATTGCAATACTTTCCTTTTCATTCCTGTAAACAAAGTAAGCTGTTTTTTGCTATGGTATCACTGAATATAATATTTCCTCTACCCAGAATGCCTTTTCCCTCATCTTTGTAAACATCTACTCTAATCTCTCCAAGCAGAATTAAATGCTTCCTCCTCACTCTCAATGTGTAAGATCTCTTGCTGTTGTTACTTTTCTTTTTCACTAGACAGAGTCCCTGGAATGCACTTACCATGTTGTATTAATCTTGGTAAGCCTGGTGGCTAGGCACTGCCTACCAAATAGTAGGTGCTTAATAAATGTTTGAAAAAGGAGTAAGTGAATATATCATGATCTGAATAAAACGGCCTCAGGGAATTTTACTTCCTTTTGTTGATTCCATGCTTACCAAGTGCTATGGTTTGAATGTATCCCCCAAAGTTCCTGTATTGGAAACTTAATCCCCAATGCAACAGGGTTGGGAGATGGGGCCTGATAAAAGATCACGAGAGCTCTACTCTCATGAATAAATTTATGTTGTTATTGTTGGAGTAGGCCAGTCACTGCCAGAGTGTTCGGCCACGCTCACCCACCCACCAAAGGCACACATTAGCCCTTCCGCCTTCAGTCATCGGATGACACAACGGGAAGGGCCTTGACAGATGTAGGGCCCCTTGACTTTGGACTTTCTAGCCTACAAAACTGTAAGAAATAAATTTGTTTTTATAAATTACCCAGTCTCAGGTATTTTGTTACAGAAGCATAAAACAGACTAAGACATCCAGTGATCTTTTGATTAGTACAGCACAGTATGTTTGCTAGCTGTATGATCTCAGGCAAGTTATTTAAAAACCTCTCTGTGCCTCAGATTTCTCATCTGCAAAATACAGTTAAGAATATCTTCCTCATGGGTTATTGTGAAGATTAAATGAGTTAAATATATATAAAATGCTTAGAGCAATGCCTAACAAACAGTAAGTACTCAGTAAATATTATCTATTATATTAGTTTTAAAATAATGCCTTGACACTAATAGATATGTTTTTTAGGTCACAGAAAAGACTATCATGTACATTAATACAATGGTACTTTGGTTAATTTTGTCAACACTCTGTGAATCTGGTTAGCTACTTTTCCCGTGACCAATTAACTCTGGTGACATTGAAGCAACTTAGTTTACTAGTCGAACAAAGGAATGGGTCCTGAATCTTGAAGACCCACCAAATTAACAGCATCCTGAGAGGGCCGGTCAGAAGAGCTAGTGGTCACCTTAGGACACTTTACCTTGGTTCTCCCTAAAACGCGATATTTTTGTCAAAACAGTACAATTTTGTGAAAAGAATGTGATGCTAAGAGGGAGATAAACTATGCTACTGATTAGCTCTGAACATGATTATGTACTTTAAAAAGAAAGTCTTTGAGTTTAAAAAAGTACTAGTCAGTTCTCAGTTATCCATACTAAGGGAGGTAAAAAGTGATATAAGTAATTCAAAACTTAAACAGTAAAAAAGAAATCTTTAACCTTTTACTTTAGAATGCATTATGTAATTTTTCCTACAGATTTACATCCAAAATTATATTCTGGCTGAACTAATAATAATCATTTATATAGCATGGACATACATTAAAGACATTATGGGAATTAATTCAAGATAAAATAGGAAGCCAACATGAGATAAATTTCCATGGATAATTTACATATGGATATTTTAATATTATAATTCCTCTTGACCTCAAAGCATCCTCTTGCAGCTCAGTCTTAGCCATAAAATTCTTTCAATCTAGATCTGGGAGGCCATTAGAGAATCATCCGATTGAGGATTTTTGCTCCCACAGATACGGGAGTACATTATTGTGCCTAAGGAGCTATAAATGCGTGCCAGCCTGACTACAAGCCAAGTTGCTTCATAAACATTAAGGTATTCTTAAAAGGTTATATAATAATCTC